ATATGATCTCCATGTATAATACATAAGGGGGGGGATATGATCTCCATGTATAATACATAAGGGGGGATATGATCTCCATGTATAATACATAAGGGGGGATATGATCTCCATGTATAATACATAAGGGGGGATATGATCTCCATGTATAATACATAAGGGGGGGATATGATCTCCATGTATAATACATAAAGGGGGGATATGATCTCCATGTATGTATAATACATAAGGGGGGATATGATCTCCATGTATAATACATAAGGGGGGATATGATCTCCATGTATAATACATAAGGGGGGGATATGATCTCCATGTATAATACATAAGGGGGGGGGGATATGATCTCCATGTATAATACATAAGGGGGGATATGATCTCCATGTATAATACATAAGGGGGGATATGATCTCCATGTATAATACATAAGGGGGGGATATGATCTCCATGTATAATACATAAGGGGGGGATATGATCTCCGCGTATAATACATAAGGGGGGATATGATCTCCATGTATAATACATAAGGGGGGATATGATCTCCATGTATAATACATAAGGGGGGATATGATCTCCATGTATAATACATAAGGGGGGGATATGATCTCCATGTATAATACATAAGGGGGGGATATGATCTCCATGTATAATACATAAGGGGGGGATATGATCTCCATGTATAATACACATAAGGGGGGATATGATCTCCATGTATAATACATAAGGGGGGGATATGATCTCCATGTATAATACATAAGGGGGGATATGATCTCCATGTATAATACATAAGGGGGGGATATGATCTCCATGTATAATACATAAGGGGGGGGGGGTATGATCTCCATGTATAATACATAAGGGGGGGGGATATGATCTCCATGTATAATACATAAGGGGGGGGATATGATCTCCATGTATAATACATAAGGGGGGGTATGATCTCCATGTATAATACATAAGGGGGGATATGATCTCCATGTATAATACATAAGGGGGGATATGATCTCCATGTATAATACATAAGGGGGGGATATGATCTCCATGTATATATACATAAGGGGGGATATGATCTCCATGTATAATACATAAGGGGGGATATGATCTCCATGTATAATATAAGGGGGGATATGATCTCCATGTATAATACATAAGGGGGGATATGATCTCCATGTATAATACATAAGGGGGGGATATGATCTCCATGTATAATACATAAGGGGGGATATGATCTCCATGTATAATACATAAGGGGGGGATATGATCTCCATGTATAATACATAAGGGGGGGGGGGGATATGATCTCCATGTATAATACATAAGGGGGGATATGATCTCCATGTATAATACATAAGGGGGGGGGATATGATCTCCATGTATAATACATAAGGGGGGGATATGATCTCCATGTATAATACATAAGGGGGGATATGATCTCCATGTATAATACATAAGGGGGGGGATGATCTCCATGTATAATACATACATAAGGGGGGATATGATCTCCATGTATAATACATAAGGGGGGATATGATGATCCATGTATAATACATAAGGGGGGATATGATCTCCATGTATAATACATAAGGGGGGATATGATCTCTCCATGTATAATACATAAGGGGGGATATGATCTCCATGTATAATACATAAGGGGGGGATATGATCTCCATGTATAATACATAAGGGGGGGATATGATCTCCATGTATAATACATAAGGGGGGGATATGATCTCCATGTATAATACATAAGGGGGGGGGGATATGATCTCCATGTATAATACATAAGGGGGGGATATGATCTCCATGTATAATACATAAGGGGGGGATATGATCTCCATGTATAATACATAAGGGGGGGGATGATCTCCATGATATATACATAAGGGGGATATGATGATCCATGTATAATACATAAGGGGGGATATGATCCATGTATAATACATAAGGGGGATATGATCTCCATGTATAATACATAAGGGGGGGTATGATCTCCATGTATAATACATAAGGGGGGGGATATGATCTCCATGTATAATACATAAGGGGGGATATGATCTCCATGTATAAATACATAAGGGGGGATATGATCTCCATGTATAAATACATAAGGGGGGGATATGATCTCCATGTATAATACATAAGGGGGGATATGATCTCCATGTATAATACATAAGGGGGATATGATCTCCATGTATAATACATAAGGGGGGATATGATCTCCATGTATAATACATAAGGGGGGGATATGATCTCCATGTATAATACATAAGGGGGGATATGATCTCCATGTATAATACATAAGGGGGGATATGATCTCCATGTATAATACATAAGGGGGGGGATATGATCTCCATGTATAATACATAAGGGGGGATATGATCTCCATGTATAATACATAAGGGGGGATATGATGATCTCCATGTATAATACATAAGGGGGGATATGATCTCCATGTATAATACATAAGGGGGGATATGATCTCCATGTATAATACATAAGGGGGGATATGATCTCCATGTATAATACATAAGGGGGGATATGATCTCATGTATAATACATAAGGGGGGGGATATGATCTCCATGTATAATACATAAGGGGGGATATGATCACCATGTATAATACATAAGGGGGGGATTATGATCTCCATGTATAATACATAAGGGGGGATATGATCTCCCATGTATAATACATAAGGGGGGATATGATCTCCATGTATAATACATAAGGGGGGATATGATCTCCATGTATAATACATAAGGGGGGGATATGATCTCCATGTATAATACATAAGGGGGGATATGATCTCCATGTATAATACATAAGGGGGATATGATCTCCATGTATAATACATAAGGGGGGATATGATCTCCATGTATAATACATAAGGGGGGGATATGATCTCCATGTATAATACATAAGGGGGGATATGATCTCATGTATAATACATAAGGGGGGGGATATGATCTCCATGCATGTATAATAAATCAGTGGTTCATATAGTGAACTCGGTGTAGTTATTCCCCCTGAGGTCATCACAGAGGACAAGGGGGCGCTCTTTACGTCTGGAGGAAAAGAAATGTCATCTCCAAACACGGAAAGGTTTCTTCACAGTAAGAGCTGTGAGAATGTGGAATAGACTCCCTCAGGAGTTGGTTGTGGCCAGCTCAGTGGATTGCTGTAGGAAAGTCCTGGATCCTTTCTTGGATACACAGAATATAACTGGATATAACATTTATAGGGGAAGGTGATCCAGGGAATATCCGATTGCCTCTCGGGGGATCAGGAAGGAATATTTTTTTCCCCCTTCAGGAGCAAATTGGATCGTGCTTTGTTGGTTTTTTTGCCTTCCTCTGGATCAACTGTGGGTGGAGGATTATAACTTTTTTTTTTTTTAATGGTTGAACTGGATGGACTTTTGTCTTTTTTCAGCCAGACTAACTATGTAACTGTGTGTACAGGAGTGCAGCCTTTGGTTTGTTGTGTGGTTTGTTGGTCAGGCTAGTTTTGTTTTCATTTTGAGTAATAAAAGACTGCTTTGCTGTTACCAACATGGCCGACTGGTAGTTCTGGGCTCTCCAATATTACAACGCCCTATTGTTTCTAGGCCTTACAACCCGTACAAATGACAAGTATCGCCCCATATATGGTATCTCTGCAATTGTCAGCAGGAGGAAAATGTATTTTGGGTTGTTCTTTGGTGGTAGGTTTAGGTAATAGCAAGAAATGTGCAGCTAATATACAGTAATATATATATATATATATATTTATTTATTTATTTATTTATTTTTTTCCTTCTACTATTTTGGGCCAGTTTCCATTTGATAAAAAAAAAAAAAATCAGGAGATATCCATTTACTATTTTTCTACAAAATGTCGTCCTGCTTTATCCAGAAACAAGCGCGGTATAATTCCCCCGGATACACTAAGTGGCTGTGATGATAGGTACGGATTTACTAAGACCGGAAAAGTTGCAAAACTGGTTTCAAGCATTAAAGTTTGTTTCCCTTTTGTCATGAAGGGGTTGATGGTGTAGCAGTATAATCCGCGGTGATACGTTGTTTATAATAATATATCTTCCAGGAAAGTTTCCATCCACTTCAGACATACTGTATCTGTTCACTTACCTGTCCTATCTACCTACATTACATTACGATGGTGACATGCAGATTTGTGGGGCTGCTTATATTTTCCGGGGTCAGGGTGGGGCAGATACATCGTTTTATATGGTTTTTGGTGATTTGTGATAAAGATGGATGGAGTCTTATATTTGTAGACTTCATAGCTCACCAACTTCATGTCTTGCAAAGGTGTACAGGCTCCTCCCCTTCAGTCTTGCACAGTTGTACCGGCTCCTCCCCTTCAGTCTTGCACAGTTGTACTGGCTCCTCCCCTTCACTCTTGCACAGTTGTACCGGCTCCTCCCCTTCAGTCTTGCACAGTTTGTACCGGCTCCTCCCCCTTCACTCTTGCACAGTTGTACCGGCTCCTCCCCTTCAGTCTTGCACAGGTGTACCGGCTCCTCCGCTTAAGTCTTGCACAGGTTTAACTGCTCCTCCCCTCCAGTCTTGCACAGGTGTTCAGGGGTGGACTGATAACTCATGGGGCCCCCAGGCAATAGGGGATCATGGGGCCCCTGTGTCCTTGCCCAAACTCAAAAAAGCCTATGAAAATGGTACCAGGGACATCTCATGGGGCCCCCTACTGACCCAGGGCCCTCGGGCAGTGCCCAAGTTTCCAAATGGTCAGTCCGCCCCTGTGTGTACTAGCTCTTCCCCTTCAGTCTTGCACAGGTGTAGTGGCTCCTCCCCTTCAGTCTAGCACAGGTGTACCGACTCCTCCTCTCCAGTCTTGCACAAGTGTACCGGCTCCTCCCCTCCAGTCTTGCACAGGTATAGTGGCCCCTCCCCTTAGGTCCTGCACAAGTTTACCTGTTCCTCCCTTTCAGTCTTCCACAGGTGTACCGACTCCTCCCCTTCAGTCTTGCACAGGTGTACCAGCTCCTCCTCTCCTCCTCCTCAGTCTTGCACAGGTGTACCGGCTCCTCCCCTTCAGTCTTGCACAGGTGTACCATCCTCCTCCCTTTCAGTCTTGCACAGGTGTACCAGCTCCTCCTCCTTCAGTCTTGCACAGGTGTACCGGCTCCTCCCCTTCAGTCTTGCACAGGTGTACCAGCTCCTCCTTTTCAGTCTTGCACAGGTGTATCGGCTCCTCCCCTTCAGTCTTGCACAGGTGTACCGGCTCCTCCCCTTCAGTCTTGCACAGGTGTACCAGCTCCTCCTCCTCAGTCTTGCACAGGTGTACTGGCTCCTCCCCTTCAGTCTTGCACAGGTGTACCCGCTCCTGCCCTTCAGTCTTGCACAGGTGTACCAGCTCCTCCCTTTCAGTCTTGCACAGGTGTACCAGCTCCTCCCTTTCAGTCTTGCACAGGTGTACCAGCTCCTCCCTCTCAGTCTTGCACAGGTGTACCTTCCTCCCCTTCAGGTCTTGCTTCTCCCCCTCCAGTCTTGCGCAGGTGTTCCGGCTCCTCTCCTGGACTGTAGCGGCTTCCTCTGATGTCACCGCACCCTGTGAGCTTCTCACAATGTGCATTAGAAACTGCAGCAAGTCAGATAGAGCTCCGCCTTATTTCCTGGCAGGAGAGACGTCCAGCATCATCTAGCACTTTCCTCTCCAACTTCAGTCCGGAGCACCCGCTGCCATTTTTGTGCACCCCCTGTTGCTATGTTTTCGGGCATAGAACATGGAAAGAAGGCTAAGAGACTCAACTATGCATGAAGACATAGGAACGGGGGTGCAGAAAAATGGCAGCAGGTGCTCTGGACTAATGAGTAAAAATGTGAAATATTTGGCTGTAGCAGGAGACAGTTTTTTGGCAAAGGGCTGAGAGTGGTACAATAATAAGTGTCTAAAACCAACTGTGAAGCATGCTGGAGGTTCCTTGCAAGTTGTGGCTTCTTTTTTGCAAGTAGAGATTTGGTCAGGATCAATGGTGTCCTCAATGCTGAAAAATAAAGGACATTATGCCATACCATCAGGGAGGCGTGCGATTGGTCCCAAAATTTATTCTGCAGGAAAACAACCACTCTAAACATACACCCAATGTCATTAAAAGCTACACTATATTGCCCAAAGTATTGGGTCCGCCCTCAAAATCATGTGATTCAGGTGTTCCAATCCCCTCCCAATCATGTGATTTAGGTGTTCCAATCCCCTCCATATCATGTGACCAGGGGCGGACTGACCATTTGGAAACTCGGGCACTGCCCGAGGGCCTGGGGTCAGTAGGGGGTCCCATGAGATGCCCCTGGTACCATTCATAGGCTTTTTTGAGTGTGGGCAAGGACACAGGGGCCCCATGATCCCCTATTGCCCGGGGGGCCCCATGAGTTGTCAGTTCTGCCCCTGCATGTGACTCAGGTGTTCCAATCCCCTCCATATCATGTGATTCAGGTGTTCCAATCCCCTCCATATCCTGTGATTCAGGTGTTCCAATCCCCTCCCAATCATGTGATTCAGGTGTCCCAAATCCCCTCCATGGACACAGGTGTATACAATCAAGCCCCTAGGCATGCAGACGGCTTCTACAAACATTGGTGAAAAGAATGGGTCGCTCTCAGGAGCTCAGTGACTCCAAGCGTGGTCCCGTGATAGGTGGCCACCTGGGCAATAAGTCCATCGGTGACATTTCCTGGCTACTAAATATTCCACGCTCAACTGTTAGTGGGATTATAACAAAGTGGAAGCAACTGGGAACAACAGCAAACTCAGCCACCCAAGTGGTAGGCCACGTCACATGACAGGGCGGGGGGGGTCAGCGCATGCTGAAGCGCACAGTGCGCAGAAGTCGCCAACTGTCTGCAGAGTCAATAGCTAAAGACCTCCAAACTTGGTGTGGCCTTCAGATGAGCCCAACAACAGTGCATAGAGAGCTTCATGGAATGGGTTTCCATGGCCGAGCAGCTGCATCCAAGCCTTCCATCACCAAGTGCAATGCAAAGCGTCGGATTGCCGTGGTGTAAAGCATGCCGCCACTGGACTCTAGAGCAGAGGAGATGTGTTCTCTGGAGGGACCAATCATGCACTTCTCTGTCTGGCAATCCGATGGACGTGTCTGGGTTTTGGTGGTTGCCAGGTAGGAGAACGGTACTTGCCTGACTGCACTGTGCCAAGTGTAAAGTTTGGTGGAGGGGGGATTATGGTGTGGGGTTGTTTTTCAGGGGTTGGGCTTGGCCCCTAGTTCCAGTGAAGGGAACTCTTAAGGCGACATTTATGGACAATTACCATGCTCCCAACTTTGTGGGAAGAGTTTTGGGATGGCCCCCTTCCTGTTTCCAACATGAACTGCCCACCAGTGTCACAAAGCAAGGTCCATAAAGACATGGTGAGGAGCGAGTGGAGGGTGGCCTAGTCCCCCTGCGTTCCACATGTATGCGGACCACCAAAGAAAAAGCGAGACATCGAGCCAGGGCCCCCTCCCCCGACAAATTTTCATGACCTCACAAATGACTTTGAGAGGAGTTTGGTCCACCTGGATAGACACCCCTTTGTGGGGGCCTGTCCTGCACCTGACTGTCCTGGACCAGTTATTGAACCCTCAAAACACTTTGGGTCCATTAAAGACATGGAACTGCGAGCCAGGCTCAAGTCCGACATCAACCCCATGAACCTTGGACTGTGATTCTGGAAGAAGGATTAAGGTCAACTGTGGATGAGTTGGTCCAACCTTCCTCAAGCTGTTATGTAAGCTGCAACCCTTTGGGAACAATGAATTAGTGTATCCCCCCGAACTTGTGGATTGAGCGGAGACTGGGGCCAGGGACTCCTCCTTTTCCCGGTCATCAGTGCCTCCTGACAAAAGTGGAAACTGATGGTCAAAACCTTCCACATAATAGGACTAAGGTGGGCCATAAAAGGTCATGTGCGTGGAAAGGGCGGGGCCCAACTCAATATTGAACCCTGTTATAGACTGGACCAAAGGGCTGCGTGGGGGCGGGGGGCCAACTCAATATTGAACCCTACGGACTAAGACTGGGGGGGCCATTAAAGGTCATGTGCGTGGAAAGGGCGGGGGCCAACTCAATATTGAACCCTACGGACTAAGACTGGGAGGCCATTAAAGGTCATGTGCGTGTAAAGGGCGGGGCCAACTCAATATTGAACCCTACGGACTAAGACTGGGGGGCCATTAAAGGTCATGTGCGTGGAAAGGGCGGGGCCAACTCAATATTCAACCCTACGGACTAAGTCACTGGGGGCCATTATAAGGTCATGTGCGTGGAAAGGGCGGGGCCAACTCAATATTGAACCCTACGGACTAAGACTGGGGGGCCATTAAAGGTCATGTGCGTGGAAAGGGCGGGGCCAACTCAATATTGAACCCTACGGACTAAGACTGGGGGGGCCATTAAAGGTCATGTGTGGGGAAAGGCAGCCAGCCCAATACTTTTGGCAATATAGTGTATCTTCCGAAGAACAAGGAGTCCTGGAAGTGATGGTTTGGCCCCCACAGAGCCCTGATCTCACCATCATGGAGTCTGTCTGGGATCACATGAAGAGACAGAAGGACTGGAGGCGGCCAACATCCACAGAAGATCTGGGCTTAGTTCTCTGAGATGTACAGAGAACGACCAACCTGCCGAGTTCCTTCACTGGATGTGAGTCTACCTAGAGGAAGGCAAAGGGTGGTCACCCCAAATGTCGGTTATATTTGGATTTCTCTTCATTTACTGTCTGTCTTGTTAATTGACAAAAATAAACTATTAACACTTCAATTTCCGAGAGCATTCTGCAATTACAGCATTTCATCACACCTGCCTAAGACTTTTGCACAGTACTGGATTGGAGAGTTAGGAACTACAGAATATCGGGGTGCCGTGACGAGGCGCTGCAGCTTACGCATGTGTTTGCGAATGTGTGCCAACTGAACCCCAGTTTTTAAGGCTCCCTGCACACGGGGGGGCGGGGGGGGGGGTTGATAGCGTTGGTAATGTTAGCTGTGTAAAGTTGCTTTAAAAATGTGTTTTTCAGCTTTGTTTAGCATTTTTGCATTAGCGATTACCAGTGTTTCGCCGCGTTTGCAATTTTTAGCATTTTTTAGCATTTTTGTTTCAGTCCAAAAACACCAGTTTGCAGCGTTTACCACGTTTTGCCATGTGTTTTTCAGCGTTAGAGCGTTTTTACAGCTATGTCCTCATGTAGACTGGATTGCTGTTTTTGGATTTTCACATTTTTTAAAAAAAATTTTTCTATAGCTAGTAACCCCCCCCCGGCATGTTATCCTATGTGTCCGTGCGCGCACACCACCGTGCGAGACTGGAATCAACGTTTTTGGTTTTGGCTGGCAATAAACCCAGAGCTAGCGGGTTTCTAGAGGAGTTTTTTAGCTGTAAAAATGCTCTAACGCTAAAAAATGTAAAATGCTGTAAATCTTGGTTAAAATGCAGAAAATCTTCATTTTTGGACTTTCTTTGACCCCGGTCAAAAAAAGCTTAAAAAATGCAAATGCATAAAAAACACACCTAATGCGGCAAAACGCTGCTACACGCTAATGCGAAAATGCTAAAAAAAAAGCTGCGAAACTCCAGTTTTTAATGTGACTCTACACAGTGTATGGAGAGAGAGAGAGAGAGAGAGGGAGAGAGAGAGAGGGGGGGGAGAGAGAGGGAGAGAGAGAGAGAGAGAATCGAGAGAGGGAGAGAGAGGGAGAGGGAGAGAGAGAGAGAGAGGGAGGGAGAGAGAGAGGGAGAGAGAGAGAGAGAGAGAATGAGAGAGGGAGAGAGAGAGAGGGAGAGGGAGAGGGAGAGAGAGGGAGAGGGAGAGAGAGAGAGGGAGGGAGAGAGAGAGGAGAGAGAGAGAGGGAGGGAGAGAGAGGGATGAGAGAGAGGAGAGAGAGGGAGAGAGAGAGAGAGAGAGAGAGAGAGATGAGAATGAGAGAGGGAGAGAGAGAGAGAGAGAGAGAAGAGAGAGAGAGGGAGGGAGGGAGGGGGGAAGAGAAGAGAGGAGAGAGAGATGAGAATGAGAGAGGGAGAGGAGAGAGAGAGAGAGAATGAGAGAGGGAGCGAGAGAGAGAGGGAGAGAGTAGAGAGGGAGAGAGAGAGAGAGAGAGGAGAGAGAGAGAGAGAGGAGAGAGAGAGGGGGGAGAGGGAGAGAGAGAGAGAGAGAGGGAGAGAGAGAGAGGGAGAGAGAGGGGGAGAGAGAGGGGGGAGAGAGAGAGAGGGGGGGGGGGAGAGGGGAGAGAGAGAGAGAATGAGAGAGGGAGAGAGAGAGAGGGAGGGAGAGAGAGAGAGAGAGAGAGAGA